TGAGGGACGAAACTCAAAAAAGGCAATTAATAAACAGCCGAAACTATATTAAAACATAGTGAGGGGTACGACAAAACTCCAAAACCTGAAATTAGCCAAAACTATATTAAAAACATAGTAAGGGATATGATGAAATTATTTTGAGGAAGTTTCGGCTGACATCTTTAAGCACAGCAAAAAATTATTACATAAGATACAAAAGCATTAATCTTATTTTTAAAAAAACAAAATAAAGAATTTATATAAAAAAATAAATAATAAATAAATTGTTAGAAAATAATACAAAAAGTTATTTATTCCTTTTTTCTTTTCAAGATTTTATTAATTTAAAGATAATAAACAATTATGATAAAATGGGTTTAAATTTTAAATCAATTTCATCTGATTTAAAAAATAATAAAACTCTCTTATTTCAAGTAAAAATCAGATACATCTTATTTTCAATTTATTTAATTTACATAAAAAAAAATATTTTTTTTAATTTTATTTAATGTAATCCCTTCCTCTGTGTATGTCGAATATTAGCAAAAATTTGAGAATAATGAATTTTTGAATTAATATACTTTAAATTCTAACATAACAAATAATCTGAAAAGGTCTGATTCATAAATATTCGTACTTCTTCATCTCCAAAATTATGTTTTGATTATGAATAGACATAAATCAACACTGACATGTAAATTATAATATTGTAATATTGTTGGTGTTTTCCTTTTAAAATTTCTTCTTTCTTAATTAAATGTTTGTTAATCCAACTTTAACATATCACAATGATGCATCTGGATTTTATAATGATAGTTTCTCAATATATAGTTTAAAAAAAAGCATTATTTATTAATAACAAAAAAGTCAATAACAATAAGGAATTTAAAAAAAAAATCATTTATTCAACATTACCAATAAATTTTAATCCAATTAATCTTGTAGAACCGGCTGATTATATATAATATATATATGATATGTAATGCAAAAACTTTACGCTTTATCTTTTGTACAAACTTTCATCTGAAACGAATATTGAAATGGATGGTTCTTTTAATTTTTACCTTTCAGATTTTAATAATGGGAAAGATTTTAAATATCATGATAATAAAGCAGATTTTGAATATCATGACAATGATAAGGATGAAGACCTTGATCCAAACAGAGTCCTTGAAGAGGAAAATAAAGAGAAAGAGGAAGATGCGTTGATAAATTTACCTTCATGTACTAAGAGAATATCAAAAGTATAGGAGTTTTTTAATGAAAGAACATTAGAACACCTGGGATCACCTGTTTGTAAAAAATGTGATAAAAAGTTTAGTACAGATACAGGAATATTAACTCTTAAACGTCATTTGAAAAACAAACATAATATTAAAATTCTACAAGTTATAACCAATCAAACCAAACTTCCTTTTTCTCATATTGATCCATGGCTAGTTATAAAAAACAAGAACGTGATAATGTATTAGTAACGTGAATAATTGCTGATTAACAATCTTTTCGTGTTGTAGAAAATAAAGAATTTATTGCAGTTTTCAATAAGTTTGATCTGCGTTATATTATTCCAAATCATCACCAAATAAAAGATATAGTTATATCATACTTTGAATTACGTCGTTCTAGGATTATTAATGATCTTAAATATATTCCTGGTAAAGTTTCATTAACTTTGGATATATGGATATCAACTTTAACAATAGAAGCATTTTTGGGTTTATCTATTCATTATGTAGATGATGAATGGGTTTTGTGTTATTTTTTATTAGATATAATACCATTTAAAGTAAGACATACAGAAATTAATATAGCAGAACATATTATTATAATACTTAATGAATTTGAATTAATGAACAAAATTCTTGGACTTACAACTGATAATGAATCTGCTATGGTTGTATGTGGTCGCTAAATAGCAAATTAAATTCAACAAGATTTTAATTCCTTGATCTTTCGACATTATCGGTGTTCTGCACATATTCTTAATTTAGGTGCAAAACAAGGATTAGAATTAATTGATAAAGAGGTTATTAATATTAGAGAATTAATGTGTAAATTAAAAATTCAATTTTAATGTGTGATGCACTTCGGAATCTTTGTCAAGTAAAATCCATTCAATTTTGGAATCCTGTGCATGACGTAGAAACTCAATAGAATTCCACATATTACATGCTACAAAGATTTGAACAAATAGAACTTGCATTACGTTTGCTTGAAGTAGAATATCCAGTAATAAGTAATTTGCTTCCAAATACAGAAGGTTGGATAAAAATTTAGGTAAGAAAAAAAAATTAATTATTAGTTATTTATTTTATTAATAAAATATAAAAATTAATTTAATTTTATAAAATAAAGGATACAATTACCTTATTAGAACCATTAGAAAAGCTACTGTTATATTTTCTGTGGCATCATATCCAACAATTGCTAACGTTCATTTTTTAATAATAGAAATACAAGAGCATCTTCAATTCTATATTAATAAAGATGATTTTAGTCAATCAATGATGGTTTCTTCAATCAATCAAAAAATTGGTAAATATTGGAATATTGTTGATTCAGCAACTCGTATTTTAGCAATCTTAGATTAACGTACAAAACTTGCATTTTATGTATTAAATGATCTTTGAATGATTATAGATAGATATTATTTACCTTTACTAACTCCACCTACACATACCAATATTGAGAATACTAAATCTACACGGAATTGGTTTAATAATACAAAACATCGTCGTATTGATGCTACCTTTTCATTATCATCAAATAATAATGAAACAAATTCTTCAATTGCTTCTGAATTGGATCGTTATATTACTTTACCATGTGATAAGAATAAAGTACCATTAATATGGTGGCAAGGTCATCAGAGAGAACTTCCTGTTTTATCTCGTATTGCATGAAATTATTTGTCAATTCAAGCTACAAGTGTAGCTTGCGAACAGACATTTTCTATTATAACAAATACTATTACTAAAACACGTAACAGATTACATCCTACAACAGCCAGAGCATCTTTATGTGTAAAGAGTTGGATTGCTAATAAAATTGGAGAAAAGTTAACATAAATAGAAATATAGAAACAAATTTAATGAATTGTAATGAAATTACAATAAATTTCAAATTTTGCATAAAAATTTTCAATTTTACAGTATAAAAATTTATTGAATAAACATCTATTACTTGCTTTATAAATTTGAATTTTTTTTATTTTTCTTGCAATTGATTTTTAAATGTTTATATAAAAGGACTGGTCACAAGACCAGTCACAAGATCAGTTATTAAAGATCAGGTCATGAGTCTTAATAATAGAACCTGCAAGTCCTGGAATTAGGACCAGACTAGGATGGACTTTTCCAACCCTACTGACCATGCAAGCCTAAAATGCATACCAAAGTCAAAAAGTCTAACCAAAAAAATTCGCATAATCAAGTCTATCAAAAAAAATCTAACCAAAAATCGCATAGCAAAGTCTATCCAAAAAAATTAACCAAAAGTTAATATATATTCTGAGTTTTTTAAGGCTTTATCACGTAATCTGTTATAGTATTGAATCATATAATAACCTTTAACATGTGATGGACACCGCCTAGAAGATGAGCCAGTAGGCTTGTCACATATACTACATAGTACACATACTTTAGTTTTCCAATACTCATGATACCCTTCTTCACGCATGCAAGGCCTACCACAAGTTTTGCCAGTATTGTGCAAATATGAACAGGAATATTCTCCAATCATTTTAATATATAGGGAAATAATTAATTAAAGAGAAAATTTTGTAAAAGTATTATATCTTACAAATAATTAACCCACACCAAAGTAAATAATTATTTAAAGAAAAAGTTTGAAAGATACTACAGTGAACTCTTGATATAACGAATTCTAGGATCTGGATATCAACTTCGTTATAAGCTTATAACAAATTTTTTAAAGAATTTAATTGGCTAGTTCACTATAGTAAAGGTAATTTTAATATATTTGATTTAAAAATTCGCTATATCAAGAGTTCGCTATATCAAGGTTTAACTGTATATATAAAACAGAATGGTAAAAGGTATCAAATTTGTAACCGATGTGATGATAAGTTTGCTACATCCCAAAAACTTCGTCAACATATAAATAGAAAGTTTAAATGCAAACTAAAACTAATATCATGTACAACGTCAATAGTTGATATCTGAGAAAGTAACTGTCAAAAGGAAACTACTCCTTTATCTATAGAAAATTTAGTTAACTGGCTAGTAAATCCTAAGATAAAAAATAACCCAAGCATCATTAGTAAAAAATTCCAAAAACAGATGCAGAATAGTTTGATCTAATGGAAATTCTTCAAGTAGAAGTACTTCTGGAACTAGATCACAGAAGAAAACCAAAGTTTCCCAACCAGAAGAGAATACTGAAGCTGGATCCAGCCTAACAACTCAAGTTTATAGAAAGGGATTACCATCTAGTATTGAGATATTTAATGAAGAATATATGAAGGAATTAATTGGTAAGGAAGAACCTAATGAAGTTGAGTGACAAGATACTCAGGAGAATATTCACTTTGAAAAATGTCCAGTTGAAAAAGATCAAGAAAGATCACACAAAAATCGATCTTTAATGAGCAAATGGATAGGAAAAATTCCTCATTCTAGAAACAACCCTATATATGCTTTTATTCAACTATCAGATCCAGTAGAATATAAAAATATTCTATATATGCCTTAACTTATGGGGTTAATTCGTCCGAAAATAACAGAAGTTTTCCAAATAGAGTTTCATAGAAAAGACCAAATAAAATCAGCCATAGTAGCATTGTGCCTGTATTCGATTACTAAAAGAAACCCAGATAGAATAAGTGATAAATCATATATAGAAAATCATCAAAGAGGGAGAATACGATCGATTCTTTTAGAAGGAGATATAGATGAACATATAACAAAAATTGTGGAGGAAATAGATAATCAGATTGAGGAAACATTAAAAAAGGGATTTGGTTATATTCTCGAATAAATTCTTGAAATATCTATTGAGATATATACTTTGCGACGAGCTTTTGGAGGATCTTTCATCCCCACCCCAAAAAGCTTGCCAATACAAAATGTATTATCAATTCAGATAATTACATTCTTATAGATCCAGTAACAAATAGACATTCTGAAAACTGTCTTCAAGGTGCAGTAGGTGTCTACTTTGCTCATCAGGATGGACATACAAATAATCTTAATCGAATTTTTAGAGCTAAGGATCTTAAACACTACTTAGATATTGTTAAGCTAGATGGAATTCCAATGCCTACTCCCATCTGCCCACGAATATTTAATAAGATTGAGGAGATGAATCCAGATATCTCCATTAATGTCTGAGAGTGGAACGAAGAATCAGCTACACCAAAAACAGTAATAGCTAGTAAGAACTTTAAAAGAAAACATAAAATTCGTCTATTAGCCCTTACAGATATTACTAAAGA